TCTAGAAAAAGACCTTATTTCAGAAAAAAAAGCAGTATATGGTAGACCAATGAGGTAGACCTTAATCATCCCTATGCCTGAAGAACAGAGTTGTAAGCAATGCCCATTTCCAAGGAGCTTACAGGAAGTTACATAAAACTGCTGATGTATGAGATTAGATCCCATCAAAGAACTACCTCTTGAATGATGACAGACATTCAAATCCATTCGTGAACTCTAAAGCATGAGGGCAGAAGTCAAAACAGCTCTAACAAGTGGATGAACTTTCACAGAATTAAGAACAAACCTGCACCTTTCTGTTTTAAGTAGACATCCCATGACAGAATCCAAAGAAAAAGCACAACACAGGGAAAATCTGGCCAACTTAACAGTGTATGTCTGATTCATAGACACTGTACTGAAACTACTATATACCAAAGAAGAACATGAAAGATGTATTGCACTTACACTCTAGCAGCTCTAAAAGGGATCCACAACTCCATCCCTGACTTTTTGAGGAAGACCTCCGACTATCGGAACTGGCAGAAATGAGTCTGTTAGAATGGCCCGTGGTGGAACAGGTCTAGGACATAAGGAAGGATCTCCTACTTGTTATCCAGGCTTCATTCACAAAGGGATGGGAGGAGTTACGCAAATCCATGAAGTGCAAAAAAAACCACACCACCCAAACAACCCTCCCCCCAAACTTTGTGACACTGTCTATCCACAATTTAACACTTCCTGACAAAGCAGGAGACAACTAAGTTCTCCTTTCCTTATTTACAAAGTGGCAAGTTGTTGGCAGTCAGTTGTGTATGAGATTTCCAAAAGAATGAGGTAAGAACAACATACGTACTTTGTGGATCACTGCAAAATGCTGGCACGGAGAAAAAGAGACTGGTGATTACTGCTCCTAAGCCACATAATTAAGCGGGTAACAATCACTGCAAGTACCTTTGGCAGGGGAGAATGAAGAGGCACGCTAAGGAGGAAAAGTACCGATGGCCATAGAAACTATTACCAGTCAAATGAATGGCTTTTATACAAATGAAGCCAAAACTGAAAATCCAAAAATAAAGTGTATCACAATGCTGTTCCTGTCACCAGACGACTATGATGTACAACAGCCTGTCGATGTCAACATACACTGAATAGACTCCCAGTGGAGCAAGTCTGTCCACAGAAAGTTGGCTTCTGCAGTTTGAGAGTCTGTCATGACAGACAACTGTCACAAATAAGTGGTCTGGGGTGGCTCAAAGAATCACTGTCAAAGGTATTAGCAGAAATGGTTTTAATACAAATTTATAAAAAGTGCGACTTAACAAACACTCATTTGCAACAACACGCACAAGCAAGAAAGCAGCCAACGCTTAGCTTGGAAAGAATGCCACGTAACACAGCCACTGTGCTTCCAGACCCACACAGACTGTCTTCTGCAATCATATACAGACTGATTTTTGCCCAAGCAAGACAAATCTCGTGGTACAAATTGTCAAATTAATACTCCTGTATCTAGATTTAGAGTGGCATAAATGAAAAATTATCACTCTTAATGCTCTCTCAGAAGGAAGACCTAAAGTTGCTTGTACGGGAAAAGCAAACTGCAGTCAGTGGCATGTTGTAAGGGAGGGAAAAAAAGAAAAAAGAGTCACTTACTATTTTTCCTCTATGCTGGGATTAGATGGTTTCAAGAACAAAACATAGCATCCAGACTGACAAATGGCCAGGTCGTAAATAAAGCAACCTAGATACATTCAGTCTTGGTTATCCAACTGAGACAATTTACCAACTGCAATAAGCCAGAATTAGGTATGAACATACAACTCCATCACACAGAGCCAAGAGCTCAGGGCTGCCTACTCAGATTTCAAATCATGCTACTTTTCTAGTCATCTTATATTTAAAAGACATACCGCATTAGAGACATCATAAGCAACTCCCTTGCCAAAAACTGGTGTAGTTAATCGAGAGTATACATCCTCTGCATTCAAATCTTCATTTTTACTATTGAAGAGTAGAGCAGCAGCATCACTACCCAGTAAGTATGTGAATGACTTGCCAACCATAGTGAAACTGAACACAGGTCCATACTAAGAGAGGAAAAAAAAAATCAATTTATTTTAAATAAGAAGAACACAAATCATTAAATTCGTATCTCTTTATGTACAGGCTTCCATAAATCACTCTCCTAAGAAGTATCTAGAGATTTAACAAAGATATACAAATATTTTAAACCACATTTAAATTCTGTTCTCAACACACTTACTAGTGACATCTAACATTACAATGAACACACATGATCTTGCACATTTTAAAACCATTTTGTTTAAAAAAATGTAAATAGAACATCAGTTACACTATAAAAACTAGCAGGGAAATTACAGCACACAGAGCCTCCAGTAATCTACACTGTCTAAAAAATTCTGGATTTGGAGTTATGCACAGGCAATTAAGAACATATAAGATTTTGAAGTTTAAAGGTCATTTCCAGATCTTCACATACTAAATTTGGCTTTCTCTAAGCTAACCAAGCTAATATTTAAGTTTATGACTCTAGAAAGTTTTAGACAATATGAAACAGATCAATAAATCTTATTTAATTGGAATTAAGGCTCTGCTTCCTCGGTCCACTCCTTTTGGGCTGTTATAGTATAAAACATACTGAGGTTTTATACATCAGCCCTTTTAATATTACAGAGGCCCAGAAAATTTATCAAATTGCCTACAGACGTGGTCAGCTACATTCCAGCGTGGTCACAGATTAGTAAAGAGTGAGATTAAAAGTTCCCAATTAAGGCAAGAAATAATGTCCTGAAAATGGCTTTTTAATTAACTTGTGATTCAGCTATGAGCATACCCAAATACACAAACATATTTTTTTACATCTGAATCACAAGAGGTATCTCAGAAAACACTTTCTCTAACAACAATGTACATAAAGAGATCTGAAGAAACCAGAGCCTACTGTGCACACTCCATTCCATAATCAAAGTAGTAAATGAGAATGAACCGATTTTACACAGGCTCCAGATACAGAACTTAATAGATACATAAAAATATTTTAGCATATGGTCAGCCAGTCAGGTTGGAAAACATACCTTGTCATAAGCATTTTCCAAAAATTCAATGGGACTTTTTCCAAATGCAATTGCATGTCCAAGGAAAGGGATGCTTGATGAAATATAAGGTGGGTATTTCTGAGGAAGAAAGAGAAAAATAATTATTGAGTTTTCTTCAGAAAGTAGTATGTCCATTTACATAAAAAACAAAACACAGAGGTGGCATTATACATGTTTTGGTTTAACTCTTTTGTGAAAAGGTGAACTTTGGACAACTGATTTTTTTTTTAAATAGAGTAAGAGCAAGCCACATTTAAAAGCAACAGGGGTTAAAATAAAATTAATACAATCAAGATTCCTGCTAACTTGCCTCTGAAAGCAAAGCACAAAGACACTGCAATTGGAAAGGAGGCAGTCAAAAACAACACAGTGTTGATGATTTGTTAAACAGTCCCCCAAAAGCAGCAACTTCAGTTTAGTAATGAGTTTCTTACATACGTGGGAGCCTTCTTTTAAGCGGCACTAAGGAAAGAGTACCGGGCACGGCCTTTGCCTCTTACGCCACCGAAGCACCTCTGCCTCATGCGGTACCCACCAGCCGGCCGAATAAAGCCCCTGCAGCGCTCCCGTCAGAACCCGTCCCCGACGAGGCTGCTGGAAACGCCTCTCGCCCGCCAGAGCCTGCTCCCGCACACTTGGATTTTACCGCCCATTTCGTTGCGCTCCCCAAAAGGGGCTGTCCAGAGGTGACCGCACCG